AAACACCCACACATGAAGGAAAATTAGCCCACAGGTCTGGCAGGCCTTGCCCTCCCCCCCATTCCCTCTGGCTTGCTAAACTTCATTAGATTGCATTCCTAAAGCTAGCCATCAAGAACTACTCTCTTATTTAACCTCTTCTCCCTCCTGAGGCTGACATCCAAAATCCAGCTATCAAAGTATTGAAATCCAGCAATCAGAAGTCCCTGTGGCTCACCTAATTAACACACCCAATTATGATCAAACACTTCATCCTAACATGGGGTTTCCCTTTGTACCTTTAGAAACAGCCATTTTCCTATGTGCCATGTCTGTCTCCTCTCATCTTACATGTATGTAGAAAATTATCAGGCATCTACAATTAATCTATTTGAGCCAATAAGTGGAGTGAGCGGTTAGCATATAAGATCAATATATCAAAGCCCAATGCATAATCTAGATGCATTCCATTTACACTGCAGGAATAAATTTATAAAAAAGGCATAACTATGAAATATTATTAAAGGAGATTAAATAATATTTATGTGAAGCAGTGTCTTGTATTCAAGGGTTAGAAAACATATTTTTTGAAATCTTGAAGATTTAACCCAGAGCCTCACATGTGCTAGGCATGTGCTTTACCATTGAGCTACAGCCCTAGTTTTTTGCATGATTTATTTTTATTATTTTAGTTATGTGTATGTAGGTGCCTGTATGTACATATTGCCACCTGACACAGGTGCTAGAAACCAAAGCGAAGTCCTATGGAAGAACAGTAAGAATTTTAACCACTGATCCATCTTTTCAGACCCCCACCCTCGATGGCTCTTTTTTCTTTTCAGTATGCCAGATGAACATGTGTTTGAACTTGCTATGTAGGCCAGCCTGGCCTCGAACTTCCACTGGGATTTCAAGCAATATCCCATTATGCCTGACACTAAGTATTTTGAAGATGATAATACTCCTCAAATGGACACCCAAAAGCAACAAAATCTCTATCAAAATCCCAGCTGCTATCATTTCAGAAAATAGATCAGCCAATCCTAAAATACGTACGGGAATAAAAATGTCTCAGAATAACCAAAATAATCCCAAGAAAGGACAGTGATGGACATCTTACACTAGCCAGTTTCAAAGCTGACTACAAGACTCCTATCACCAACACTGCTACTGGCAGGAGAACAGACAAATAAGCCAGGGGAACAGAGCTGAGAGCTCACAGGAGCAGACATGGTTTGAGTAAATATTTCTGCAAGGCTGCCAAGAGCTTTGAAAAGAATAGCCCTTCCAACACTGGTACTTTGACAATTGAGTCAATCAGGAATGTCACTTCACACAAAAATTAACTCAAAACATAACAAAGGCTTAAACACAAGAGCTAAAACTGTAAATCTGTTAGAAAAGAGATGGGTGGAAGTCACTTTGACCTGGGAACAAACAACTGGTTTCTTAGATGTTACAAAAATCACAAGTGACAAAAGAAAATGGAACTTCCTCAGAATCCAAAGCGCTTGTGTTTCAAAGGACACCACCAAGAAAGTAGAAGGAGACTAGAGAGATGTCTCAGAGATTAAAAGCACTGAGTGTTCTTTCAGAGGACCCAGAATCAGTTCCCAGAACCCATGTCAAGTGTTGAGATGGTGGTGGGGGCTGTTCTGAAAGGGAAGGCCTCGGACAGCTCTAGTAGGAATATGAACGATGCAGTTACCTTGGAAAACACTGGTAGCTCAGCAAATTGTTAAACCATATGAACCAGAAATTTTATTCTTAGGTGTATACCCTAGAGAATTGAAAGTGCATCTTCAAAAATCATGTGTATGTAAATATTCATTGCAGCAGTAGTCATAATAGCTCTAACATAGAAACAACCTAATGTTTATTGTCCTCCACATGGGTAAATGAACATGTGATAAATGCATGCACTAGATTATCATACATCCATAAAAAGAGGTGAAGTAATGATTCAGGCTACCACATGAGTGCTTCTTCATACTTGCTAAGGGAAAGAAGTTAGACACCAAAGGCCACATAATAAGTTTCTCTTTTTTGAATTTTATGTGTCGAGGAATTTTGTCCACATAACACTCTATGCAGCACTTGTAGGCCTAGCACCGTCAGACGCCAGAAAAGAAAATCAGAGTCCCTGGACCTGGAGTTACAGATGGTTGTAGTCCATCATGCAAATGCTGGGAACCGAACTCAGGTCCTCCACAAAAGCAGCCAGTGCTGATAACTACTGAGCCACAGCTCCAGCATCTACTTTTCTATTTCTATGGAATATCAATAAAAGGCAAATCCCGAAGATGAATTAGATTGGTGGTTTGGTGGCAAGGGGAGGAAACCACTGCTTATGGTTACATTTCCTTTCTGAGGTAAAAAAATTTCTAGATTAGATAGTGGAAGAGTTGCACAGTTTTGTGAGTCTACTTAAAACATGCTTAATTGTACATTCCAAAATGATGACTTTTGTGATTCATAAATTACATGCCAATTTTCCCAAAAGGTTCATTTAATGAGTCTGGCACATATTCATATAGCCAAGGCATACGGAGAAGCAGAGGACTGCGCACCAAAGGACTCCCACCTCTCTGCTCCTACTACGGGCTCCAGTTGCCGTACATGTAATGCAAATTGAAAACGCCCACCCTCCCCAAGCCACCCGTGTGCATTCTCTCCCTGACCTAACAGAGTCACACGCTCAACTCTAGAAGGGTCCTGCCCACTTTCACTGGTCAAGCATATTTACTAGTTTGTTCTTGCTGATGCTTGGAAATTTGAACCCGTTGATCCTAGAGGGCTGTCTGTCCTTCCCAAGGCCAGCCACCTACTGGAGGTAGTAAAGGGCCTACCTTTCCTAAGCCAACTGTCCAATCAGAAGCCACTGCTTCCAGGAGGAAGCTTTTACACTAGGCCATTATACCTGGGCCTGCATCCATCTGTCACAGTTACCCTAGAGGACAGATGCAGACAATCGGATCCAGTGCCTACATTCAACAGCCCCGTGGAACCGTTCCCATAAGCCAGTCCTGAGGCTGCCTTACTTTTCCTATAATCAAAATAAGTGTTCTGCCTGGGTCTTAACTTCATTCCTACACCTCACTGACCCTGACACTTCCTTTGTGACAGCGCCTTGTGTGTTACTCCTTGGTCTGGGATCTGTAACTGAAATGTCTTAAGAGTCGTATCTGTGCCCATGTGGCAGCATACCTGGGCTCGGCAACTCCTATTACAAAGTCACCCTTCAAACCCCACTCCACTTTGCTTTTCCTGCTTGACTTCTTGCACTGGACACTCCCCAGAGTCTCCATACACAATGTGTCTTAGCTTGCAAAGTCCCATTGTCACTGTGCCTTTGCCCATGCTAACCCCCATCTAAAGTGCTCTCTTTAGGGATGGAGAAACAGCTCTATGGCTAAGAGTGCTTGCTCATGAAGAGGACCAGAGATCAGTTCCCAGCACCCATGTCAGGACATTCACAGCTACCTACAATTCCAGCTTCAGGGTATCTGGCATTCTTTCTGACCTCCATAGGTACACACACACACACACACACACACACACACACACACACACACACACACACACACACACAATAAATAAATAAATAAATAAATAAATAAATAAATAAATAAAAATCCTCAGTGTTCTTTGCCACAATTATTCCTAAGCCACCACCGGGGCTCTCTTCATTCTACTCCCTTGGAGCCCACCAGGACAACAAACTCTGTGCTCCAACAGTACCTGCCACATTTCTCCCCCAAAGTCCTGACTCCATGTGTCTGTTCTGATTGGAAGTGCCTCTAACATAAGGCCTGTAAGTATCAATATCTGAAGTTCCCAGAGCAAAGCTGTGGTGGTGTGAATGAGCATGCCTCCATTAGCTCATATGTCTGAATGACTGGTTCGCAGTTAGTGGAACTCCTTAGAAGGATTGGGGCGTGTCTAGTTACAGTGAAAAGACATTATGTCCAGAGCAATTCCTGTAAAGGAAAACATTTCATTGGGGCCGGTTTACACTTCAGAGGTTTAGTCAATTATCATCATCATGACAGGAAGCATGGCTGCGTGTAGGCAGAAATTATGCTGGAGAGATAGCTGAGAGTTCTACATCTAGATCCATAGGCAACAGGAAGAGACAGTGAGCCACTAGTCTGGTTTGAGCACTTGAGACCTCAAAGTCAGCTCCCAGTGACTCCCTCTATCAATGCCACACCTACTCCAACAAGGTCATACTTCCTAATATTGCCACTCCCTATGGGCCCCCTGGGGTCCATTTTCTTTCAAACCACCACAAGAGGTATGGGCTTGTTGAAGAAAGTGTGTCACTGGGGGTGTGCTTTGAGATTTTCAAAAGTCCATGCCAGGCCCAGTCTCTGTCTCTGTCTCTCTATCTCTGTCTATCTGTCTCTCTCTCTCCCTTCTTCCTTCCCTCCCTCCCTCCCCTCTGACTGTGTCTGTCTTTCTGACTCTGTCTCTCTTTGTGTATGTTTGTCTGTCTCTACATCTGTCTATCTCTCTCCCTGTCTCTGTCTGTCTGTCTGTCTGTCTCTCTCTCTCTCTCTCTGCTCCCCCCCCACACTTCTTCCTGCTTCATGAAGGTCGGGATTTAAAGTTCTCAGCTACCACTCTAGCACCATATCTGTTTGCTTCCTGCCACGATGGTCATGGACTAACCCTCAAAAACTGTAAGACGGTCCCCAATTAAATGTTTTCTTCTATAGGAGTTGCCATGGCTATGGTGCCTCATCCTAGCAACAGAACAACACGTCGCACAACAGCATAGAGTCAGGAAATTATTGGCAACTGAATCAATGTACTGTTTCACTCTTTAATGTAAGACATCTCCAGGGCAAGTGCACAAGCTCCTTGAGTGTGCAGCCCTTATCCCAGCAGGGCCATGCACACAGGGAAAGCCTCAGGTGGTGGGGAAGGAGGCTGAAATAATGGCAAAGCACATGCATGGGGGGGTGCCAGGGGAGGGGATGGGGCAGCATCCATGCCCAGGACACAGCTCAACTCACACTGTTCTTCCCACTCGCGGTCCTCTTTCTCACTGGCTTGGCAGTGCAGCTGGGCCTGCTTCAGGGTCCAGTAGAGTTCCTTGGCTCTCTGCTCTTCCTGGAGGCGAATCTGTTCTTCTCCTCGCCTCCTCTCTTCTTCCTCTTTCCTCTGGAAAATTATTGAGACACAACAGCATTAGAATGGGGAACTGCCTGTGGGGTTCTGCAGGTAGTCAGGGCTGGGCTGTCTGGAGTAGAGTGGCCCGCAGTTACCACTCTCCTCTTGGTCCTCACATTACTGAAATGCGATAGTCACACTTGGTGAGAATCAAATGGATTGGTGTACTGCAGCAAACTTCACTTGCTGTCCTGCAGAACAGGGGATTGAACCCAGAGCCTCAACCATGCTAAACAAGTTTCTGCCACTGTGACAGCCCAGCCTGGCAATATCTAAACTCTTAAGCTTTCCACAAAGATAAGAGGACTGAGCCGTCATCAGACTTGCTTCCACTGGAGGTCAAGAAGGAGTGCAGGTACAGAGAGCAGTGTCTGATCTTTCTATATATCTTATCCATCTGGACACAGTAGGATGTCTTGACGAGTCTGGATACAGTATTGGTAAGGCCATAGATCTACTAGTCTTAAATCTCTTGTTTTTACAAGTCCCACTTACAAGTTCCAAAAAGAGGTTGTGTGTGTGTGTGTGTGTGTGTTTTCCTACCCTTGTTTACATGAAAATAGCATTTATGCATTCAGAACATAGACAGATGGCTAATGAAAGTAGTTCACCAAACCTCTTCCCCCACCCCAAGGCACCATTGAGCCCTGTATTTCACACGGATGCTAGAAAGTGAACTCAGACTCTCATGCTTGTGTGGCAAGCACTTTACTGTATGAGTCAGCCATCTCCATGATTTACCTATTCCAAAACTTAAGTTATGTCTTAGATTTTTGTTACATAAGATTTTAAACACAGGAATGGATGACCATATAGCAAGCCAAATAGGATGCTAGTTTCAATTATAAAAAAAATATGTTGTAAACCTTTTAAAATACTTGGAGCATGCACGTGCTGTATAAATACTACTTTTCTTTCTATGAAGAACAGTTCTTTTTTCTTCTCACAGTGATGCATGGCATCTTAAATTCTGGAAAATGCGGCAGGGAATGGGCTTTGCTTTCAGGTATCTCTGCAGCAGCTAATTTTTCCTGGCTTAATAATTGCTTTATCTTAAAGCAGAATATTGAATTTTCCCAAACTCCTATCAAGTATAGTAAACTTTGAGTTAAACCACATATGAGTTCTTATAAATACAGTACTGCCCTCTTTTTAAAAGGGACAGCTTGCCCTGGGAGCCATTTTTCATTCTTCTATGGGCTGTGCTGCCTGCTTCCTAGATATCTTCCCAACCACACTCCAGGGCCCGTCTCTGATCCTTCTCTGAGACAGAGTCCTGTTTCACAGGTAGCCATTTTCCCTCTGCAGCCACTTATCTCAGGATACACAGAGCCTCTTTCTGAGTGTTTGCCTGAAAATACTGCTATGCCAGCCTCACAGTCAACTACTAATTTAGTTGATCACAGAACCTGATTAATTAAAAGCATTGCTACCTTGTCTTCCAGCAATCCTGTCACCTTTTCATCTGCTGAATAGAGCCTTTGTTTTCTCCCTGGAAATCTGCAATCTCATTACCATAAGTATTCTAAAGTATTTTCTTTTCCTTTTTTATTGAAAATAGATTCTTTTCTCATACAATATATCCCCATCACAGTTTCCCCTCTACTTCCCTCCATTTCCCTTCAGAAACAGAACACAGTGCACTAAATTAACTAAGCATGGCTCATATGGGCTCACAGAGACTGAAGTGGTAAGCACGGGGCATGCATGGGTCTGTACCATGTCTCCTGTGTATATGATACAGCTGTTAGCTTGGTGTTTCTGTGGAACTACCATGTCTCTTGTGTATATGATACAGTTGTTAGCTTGGTGTTTCTGTGAAACTCCTAACAGTGAGCTGGGAGCAGGTGTATCTCTGACTCTTTTACATGCTCTTGGGACTCATTTCCTCTTATTGAGTTGCATTGTCCAGCCTCTATATGAGGACTTCTGCCTTTTGCCTTGTCCTTTTTTTTTTTTTTTTTTTGACACAGTTTCTCTGTGTAACAGTACTGGCTGTCCTTGAACTCTCTTTTGTTGATCAGGCTACCCTCAATTGATGCCTTGTTTTGTTGTATCAGGTTTGTTTGTCAGGTTTGCTTGTTGATTCTAGAGCATTCTCAATGATGTGCCTTGCTTAGGGCTTTCTTCAGGCTAGAGTCTGTCCAGTAGAATACTGCTTCTTTGCCTAGATGAGTTCCCTTGCTTCTCTTTTGATAGGACTCCTGTTTGTCGAGCGCTAGTCAGCTTTGAGGAGCGCTAGTCAATCTCCTAAAGATGTCATCTTTTCTCTCTGGTTTTCCGAATCTTGTCTTTTCTTGTTCTACTTCCTGGTTGAGGTCACTAACTTTATCTTTTGACTGCTTCACCAGTTGTGAGCTGTTTTCTTTCCGTTGTGGTATGTGTGATTTTTAAGCCCCCATTCTTACTTGCTAACATCTCTTTCATGTGGGTGCATCCTGTGTTTGTTTCAGAAGTGTGACAGCCTAGCTCTCTGAAGACTGAGACCTTTGTCTTTCCTTCTACTTTGACTGAGATCTATTTCTTTTGTGTTTTGTTGCATTTATTTGACTTGGTGCCTGCCATTCCTAGAAAAAGAAGGTTTCCATCAGATATGCCCTCCCTGTCAGTTCACAGGGTAACTCAGGCTTGAATGGGAAGTTAAGTATGTAGCCAGCTTCACTGAGAGGCAAGCTTCCCTCTGTGGCCATTGCATGAGGAACCGGCCATTTCTTTGATGAACCATCAGTTGGAAGGTTTTGGAACTCCTTTCTGTAACATTATCTGGAATCTTCTGTTCTTCCTGTGTGGTATCTGAGCAGGAGTGAGCAGGCAAAATTATCCTTAAATCCCCTGACCTGGGCCTCATGCTTTACGGAAAGTAAAGATTTGAAATGCCTCATTTGTTGAATTCTTCCCCCAGCTCTCTCCCCAGCAGGACTGAGAAAGACAACCTTGTTTTCCAATGACAAACAAGGTCCTGAATGAGCTCTGGTCCCTGTTTATTCATTGCACGTGCTCTCTCTCCCTCTCCCTAGTATATGAGCATGCACTTAAGAGTCTGTGCCCTAAAACTGTATAGAATAGCAGCTTTCAGGCTGTGCTAGCCTTGAAATATTGTATTTGACAAAGCAAGAGTGTTATTAGTTATTTTTAAATCTTTGCTCTTTGTTCCTTTTATTCTTTGCAGGGGCCTACTACCCAGCTCCCAAATAAATTACATGGAGGTTTTATTCTTACTTATGAATGCCCGGCCTTTGCTTGGGTTGGCTGGACCTGATGTCCTCCTCTCTTCCTTCTTGTCTTACTCCCTTGCTTTTCTCTTCCTAGATTTCTCCTCCTATTTATTCTCTCTGCCTGTCAGCCCTGCCTATCCTTTTTCCTCCTGGCTATTGACCATTCAGCTCTTTACTAAACCAATCAGGTGTTTTAGACAGGCAAAGAATCACAGCTTCATGGCTTCACAGAGTTAAACAAACACAACACAAAGGAATGCACATATCTTTGCATCATTAAACAAATGTGCCACCGCATAAACTAATTCAACACATCTTAAAATAATATTCCACAGCACAAGAGTTTCTTATTGTATCTTTAAAGCGTATTTTGTGTGCATGCTTGTATGCTTGGGGGGGGGGCACGTGCATGACATGGCACTTAGGGAGAGATCAGAGAACAGTTTGTGGGAGTTGGCTCTATCCTTTCACAAGGTGGATCCCAGGAATGGAATTCAGGTCATCAGACTTAGTAGCCAGGACCTTTACCTGCTAAGTGCTCTCACCATTCCCAAAGGAACAGTTTTGACCTGAGTTACTATACCCTAAGCCTAAGTGGTAAGATGACATTATAACTTGTTTATTCGAGTAAACAACCACCATGATTAGGAAAAACTGATGAATAATGTATTTGTACCAATAAATTATCATGCATGTGAATATATAGAATCATATTGGAAACACATTTCATGAGTTTATCAATCATACCAGATATAAGCCTCTTACCTGAGACTATAAAAAAGGAGCACACAAGACCAAGATAAAAAAGATATACCATCTTGCCATAAGTTTCATCCTGAAAAATTGCTACGACAAGGGGCTTCTACCTTTGTCCCCAGACTCCAGCTTAAGTAGTTTCTCTTGCCTAGGTCATGTATTCAATTGTAAAATAGCATTCAAAACTGCCTGCTACCTGACATTTGCAACTCTGTGCTTTGAACAGCACTACAGCTGTGGTTCGTAAAACTAATTATCTGGTTCTCTACTGAAACTTTTCTTTTCATCTAGATAGCCTCTGAACCCTGTATGCCTCTTTGACCTGTTCAAAGCCATTCTTAGTACACATACTTACTGCTCTACCACATGAAATGCAATGTGTGATTTCAGAGTTAATAATAATAATTAAGATTAAAGCAAAAGAACACTAGTTGCTATTGACCATGTCGACCAAGTAAAATCTGTCTATAGCCCTCTTGGCAGGAATAATATATTCTACAGAGACAATTGTGTTCCTCCCCTTTGGATAAGTTTAATGGAACAATGATCCCAGAGAAATTGGAATTTTCAGATATCTCACACTAGGAGAAGGGAAAGGCTGGAGTCTGGTATCAGAGAAGGAGAAACTTGTCTGCCTTCACACAGTTCTAACAACCTGCCAAACCACCTTGCAAGAGAAACTGGAATAAAGACAACAACGATGGATCAAATACTGGTGAGACTACACCTTAACCAGGGCTGCTTACCTACGCATACCTCTATTTAATCCTAAAACTCATGTGAGAGCTCTGAGAATGGAGTGGAAATCATTCCACTGGATGTCTTTATTTGTTCCTCTTCCCAGTGTGACCACATCAGACAAATCTCCATCTCTACATATTACTATTATTTGTCTGTTTAATAAGCCTATTGAGGAGGAGTGGCCAAGCTTAACTTGGTAGAGCTGCCATATCCCAGACTCTGATCTTAATAATTCTGGTAATAGTAGTACTTGGTGAATTAAAGTGAACAAAACTGATG